CCGATGCGTCTACGGACACGAAGACAAAGCACAACAAATTACAATTTTGCTCTGTTTAAAATAATACTTATTGCAAAACACTTTATATATAGATATAATCTGGATCCTATAATCTCATCAACTTGTCTGGTCAGGAAACATATCTATACATGCCAGTACAAGTTGATTGTGATACCCATTTCTAATCCTTTGATCCACTATTAAGTCATTCACGCTATTAGAACTATTGCTAGAAAATCTATTTACCAGTATATCTAGTAGTTTATTTATTTATTTATTGATACTTGCAGAATCGCCCTTCTCTCTGTTTGCATAATCCGTAGGATTACTGCGTTTCCAGAGTCAGAGATGCTGGGATTATTATGGCTATCAATTAAAATCGCACTTGAATATCAGCCAGATTCCAGGATTATCGTACCTAAAAGCTTTTGATAAAACAGTGACCAGCAGGATTTAGGAGAATATCCGATTTAAGTGACTTCATAAATATCACGAATGGCTTTCGTAAAAAAGCCCATTAAAAAAACATCCCACTATCATTGTTACTACCACATGAAAGCACGCGAATGAAATGGAAATCAAAACAACGCGTATTTTCAWTATATTCAACCTGTCGTGGGGCACGACCTGAGAACGTTATGTATATTACATCTACAATAGTCGTTGTTTTCCCGTTATAACTCAAGAATGTACTCGAAGCTATAACAGTGGATATTTGTACGGCTCGGTGGTTTTCACAAATCGATTACGAGACGTCCACTGTTTACTTTGATTAATGTATATTACTATAAATCAACACCTTTAATCCGACATGTAAAGCTAAAGATCGCACGGAAATAGTAATGCATTTTAAATTATTATAAATGTTATCAACGCAGCTTCTTCATATTGCAGAGTTATCAAGGCTTAGRTCGGTTCAGCACACTTTGTAATTGCCTGTATAATGGCGGACTAATTGACCTTTGTGATTGATGGTTGATCGATAAGTGGAGCACCAGMACGGCTATTAATAATAATACATGTCTTGACTATAAAAGACCTTTCTATAAAAAGGTCCTTTGACATATCACGAACAMGGCAACTTTATGCCAGCAAGTTTATAGATCCATGTGATCAAASATTATTCAGCCGTRTTCAGTACTTGAAACATATCAAAACAAGCAAGCTTGCTTACTTCTTGTTGTGACCGACCACACACTGAACCTTGATTGAAAACACTGAATACATTAGAATATGTATGAGAATCCCTGACATTAGTCCCTTGGGCAATAWTAGTAACAACACCACATAATAGCTTGAAATACCTGTCAGACAGCACAGCTGAGTCTTGCAAACCCCTTCAGTCTCTGAACAAGAGAGTTATCTTTAGTGATAAACTCGAGTATTCATGTCTCTAWTTCACGATTAAATCACTTCAATGACAACCAACATGCAGGATTGACTGTYCGTATTTGCAGCGAGACAAAACATCATTCTCGTACCCAGACCCTACTCTGTCGGCCTCTAGCGGCCTGTCGTAGGCTCTGGGACACCCTGTAATTTCAAGCCACATGATTGGCTAATTCAAATAACAAACGGACAAGATTGTAACCGCGATCAAAAATTCAAATATTTGTAATTTAATATATCGGTACATTTTTTTCGTGCATAGTATTCTTGCCTATTCTGTCCTCGAGGTGAAATAAAAACCTGCGTCATCATTCTTTGCGACATCGAACTTTGGTACGAAAAATGACATGAACCAAGGTAAAAATGGGTCTTCAGTAAATGATATTTCTCGCTGAAGCACCCATCAGCCGGGATTAACGACAGCCGTCAACTCACTTGACCTTACGGACTTATTTCACCTGTTTTTTAAGCAAGATCAAAGCTCAAGNCGGGGACGTGCCGCCAACCAGGGTATCGTTTTCAGCGATTTTACTCTGGAACTGGGTATCGTTTTTAGCGATTTTACTCTGGAATAGGGTAACAATTTCAACGAATTTTCTCTGGAACAGGGTCAGGGTGGAATCCCGGAATTATTGATGCTGGATAAAAATTCATGGGGTAAAAATTAGGTCTACACGCAAGCTAGTGCAGGATTTTACTCTGGAACAGGGTATAGTTTTCAGCGATTTCACTCTGGAACAGGGTCAGAATTTTGAGACTAGATAGATTTTTGGCGATTTGTGGGCAATTTTCTCCACTCCTAAATGTCAAAAGCTGTACGTGTTTCTTTTCAGTACGCCACGTTATTCAACAGCTGTTATACGTACCGTCTGCTTATGCAACCGCATTTAATCTACGTCACTAATATTGTTAATATAGTTAAGGAATTTACMMTAAGTTCACTGAAGATATACACAAAGAAGTCAGATAAGTGCATTTGTAAAYAAGATACTCAAAGCTATAACAAATACAGTTATCGTAATATCATTCAAAACTGTTATGGTTGTCCTGGCGCCCTTACTCAAACATAACGAAAACTTTCTTACGAAAAGAATACTTTTACATAATGAAAGTAGTAGTAGGAAATCCAAATAAATACAATATTTAAGAGCGTCCTTTTTGACAAATTTATTTTCMTTTCGTAGTCCCCTTTGCCCTTGTAKCTCGTGAAAATYCGCGAAGAAGCGAAATTTCACCGTAGCTGATCGTGTTCCTTTACATGTCACGTGGCTTTCAGACTGGGACTGCTTTAATTTTGGAGGTTTTTACTGCCGCCTTRCRCGCACTGGTAAATAGCGRGAAATAAGAACGAAAGCCTACGCTATTTAGTGTAAGCAATGTCAGAACTTTTAAWTTCCGCAACTCTGCTTCTGACTGAACGGTAATTCAGGTAAGAAATAACATCGGTTTTTAGTTTTCACAAAAATCCTTCTCTCGAATACTACTGACTATTCATAATTGTACTGAAATGTAACATATCCTTTTAGAGCATTCAAAACTATTTGTGATGATAAGATATTTATTTTTGAGCGTGTAGTTACTGAATTATTTGCGATTGAACACACTGTTAAAAATCATGTCTTTATTACRTAAAGTAAGCATATTATACATCGTTTTAAAAAAAGTATTTATTTTTTCAACAAAATTTGTACGGTATATTGGTCACTATATATTTAAGTCTTTCCTGTCCGCCCCTTGAAATTTAGGTCGAACTCGACCTACTATGCTTCAAGAATTGCCGAGATAGTAAATATCGGGCGAATTGCATTCTTTGGTTGTCAAATATTGCCAAAATTACCTTGGTAGGTTGGAAAATCTTACACAGATGGACTAGGAAAGCGATCTTACAATGATGTCTCCAAACAAACCGTGACTTGGAACCATTGTCTTCGAAAAATTGCTTTCCACCTGTGATTTCTTCCAGAAAATTGTCTCTGCCGACTAGTCAAGCTTTATGATACAAGCCTAGGGGCTCCGGTGGCAGCAAAAAGCTAAAAAAAAGCACTTATAAACGGGTTTTTAGGATAATTTAGGCTCAACCATAAGCATAACATAACATAAACAAACGGTCTGACCAACACCCTACATAAATTAACGCTCCCTAGTGAGTTCAAATCCGAAATAGTTTTATTGACAGCACCTTATATGGAARTCAATTATTTTATCAAAAAAGCTCAAAAAACAGCACATCAACATCCGTCGACAATGAGCGTTTTTCGATGTCTTTTTTTTCCGATATATTTTTTATTTACGGAGTTATTGCTATTTGGATTTAAAAGTACGAATTCTTTATGTGAAATTTGATATTTGACGCCATAGCTTCAAAACGAAAATCTGAATCCAAACAAGCACGATTTTTTCCCTTTTACTTACTATAGCCCAAACCATGAAAAGCAAACTTTTTGCAAAATAGCTTCTCAAAGCCAAAATCGCGACTTAAACTTTATAATTTTTAATAATGCAACCCCTAAGAGATCTCCGGGGTAAAAGAACCGGAGAAGCTCTTCAGACATTTCCCTTAAAGATCCAGAGAGTCTTGAAAGAAGGGCGTGTCTGATTGATGGATTAACGTCTAATGAATCAGCCAAGGGGAAAGCGGCAGTATTTACACTGTATGCTCATACTTCACTTTCTGGTTTGGAGTGAAACTCGAAACAGTTTGTGGTTTTTGAGTTTGAGATTTCACACTAGCTCGATCTTCAAATTTTAGCTCAAATTACGAAATCCTTATTTTAGGATATCAATTATTTTATACAATTGGACCGCGACGCTAATTCTGACTGAACGGCAAGGTAGGAAATGCCATCGATTCTTTGTCTCGAATACTAATTATTCATAATCGTACTGAAATATAACATAAATCATATCCTTTTAGACCAAAACTACGTAYATTTGTGYTGATTAGAGTTCTTTTTTCAAAAGCGTGTAGTGACTGAATTATTTGCGATCGAATATGGGTGATATTTACATGGTAAGCAATGTGGGATGCTGATGCTACTACAAGGCTCTGAAAAAAGGAGGAAGCTCAAATACTTTCGAGACTCATTTAAGATTAACAACTTTTGCAATCTTGTACCCTGAGCCTTCGTTTTCTTGGCCTGCGCAAATTGATTGGTTTTTGAAATAAAAACAAATGCTGCCGGAAGTGGAATTACACCCTGCAGGACCACATTCGATTTCATGTTTTATCTCGATTTATAATTATATGAATTCCTTTCATGTTCCAACTCATTAATGAAAATCATGTTTATTTGAAAAATACTTCAAAAATATCATGATTTGTCTTAACCAATGTTACTTTRTACAATTTTCTACACTAATTTTGCACACAGGAAAGATAGAAGATTTGGAAGAGAACGATCAAATTTTTTATGATTGATATTTCATGCCTTCATAAACTTTCATATTGTTCCATGTTGACGTCATRGGTTAAGGAATCAGCCAATAGGAAAGCGGCAGTATTTACACTGCTTGTTCATASTTCACTTTCTGGTTTGAAGCGAAACTTGACACAGTAGTGGTTTTTCAGTTTGAGATTTCACACTAGCTCACTCTATAAATTTCAGCTCAACAAAGAAATCCTTATTTCAATTGGAYCGCGAAGCTGGTTCTGACTGAACGGTAAGTTAAGAAATAACWTCGATTTTCAGTTTTCACAAACTAAAGACCTTGTCTCGATCGAATACTAWTTATTTATAATCGTACTGAGATATAGCATAAATCATATCCTTTCAGAGCATTCTAAACTACGTATATTTGTGATGATTAGAGTTCTTTCTTGAGCGTGTAGTTAACGAATTATTTGCGATTGTATATATGTGATATTTACATGGTAAAGAAATGTAGGATGAGGATGCTACTGCAAGGGTCTGAGAGAAGGAATGAAAATCAAATACTATCGAGAATCTTTACAGATTATCAATTTATACAATCTTGTTCCAAGTTTAATACTAGGAGTATTCTTCTCGTAAAAATCCATATTCTATCAGAAAACAAATGTAAGAACTGTACAATTCTAACGTTGGATTTGTTTCTCTAGAAATCCAACTCTTATCACCGCCATGGATTTGATAATCGCAAAACTTTTCATCAGGTTTTGTGTGTCGTATGCATATCATCGTAGTGATCTTAATYTCACACAGACAAAAAGAGAAGAACTGACCTCCTTGTTATTGGAATGTTCGGTAATGGCTTTTTTCCTAAATGATTTCGCGACGATTGTCTTCATTTATTCTGCACTTGACCGTCTCGACCATCGYATATCAGCTGAGGTATTCGCTTATGTCCAGAACTTTCTTGGCCATACTGCTGCCGATAGAGGCAATAATGATCTAGAGATGCATGCTAACCTACATTCAGGGAGTGCCTATCAATTATTAGGCGAATATCACAAGGCGATTGAATATTACGAAAAGACCCTAGCCATTGCTGAAGAGATTGGCAACAGACAAGTCCAAGAAGATACTTATGAAAATTTAGGGAGTGTCCATCATTCATTAGGACAATATCGCAAAGCGATTGAATATCACGAAAAGAGACTGAACATRGCTAAAGAGATTGGTGACAGACAGGGAGAAGAAGCTAGTTATGGAAATTTAGCGGCTGCCTATTATTCATTAGGAGAATATCACAAGTCGATTGAATATCAGGAAAAGACACTGAGCATAGCTAAAGAAATTGGTGACAGACAGGGAGAAGGAGCTACTTATGGAAATTTAGGGGTTGTTTATCAATTGTTAGTAGAATATCACAAGACAATTGAATATTGCGAAAAGGCCCTAGCCATTGCTGAAGAGATTGGTGACAGACAAGTAGRAGAAAAAGCTTATGGAAATTTAGGGGTTGCCTATAGATCATTAGGAGAATATCACAAGGCGATTGAATGTCAAGAGAAGAAACTTAGAATAGCTAAAGAGCTTGGTGACAGACAAGGAGAAGGATCTGCTTACGGGAATTTAGGGATTGCCTATGCATTATTAGGAGAATATCACAAGGCGATCGAGTATCACGAAAAGAGACTGAGCATAGCTAAAGAGATTGGTGACAGACAAGGAGAAGTTGATACTTATGGAAATTTAGGGGTTGTCTATAGATCATTAGGACAATGTCACAAGGCGATTGAATATCAYGAAAAAAGATTGAGCATATCTAAAGAGATTGGTGACAGATATGGAGAAGGAGCTACTTATGGAAATTTAGGGTCTGTCTATCAATCATTAGGAGAATATCACARGGCGATTRAATATCACAAAAAGAGACTGAGCATAGCCAAAGAGATTGGTGACAGACAAGGAGAAGGAGATACATATGGAAATTTAGGGAATGCCTTAAATTCATTAGGACAATATGGCAAGGCGATTGAATATCACGACAAGATGCTGAGCATAGCTAAAGAGATTGGTGATATACAAGGAGAAGGAACTACATATGGAAATTTAGGRAATGCCTATTTTTTATTRGGAGAATACCACAAGGCGATTGAATATCACGAAAAGAGACTGAGCATAGCTCAAGAGATCGGTGACAGACAAGGACAAGCAGCGTCCCATTATAATATAGGTACTTAAAATATGCTCGAAATGTATTCTTAGAATTTCTTAAAAGCCTGGCAGTAAATATTTATACGTTATTAATTCATTTTTATCACTTGTCAAGGACATAAATTGCGTATAGTATTCATTTGGCCATGCTGGTATGTACTTGTACCAGATCAAACACCTCACACAAATTCGTATCGGCCACACCCATTTGTCAGTAAGATGTCAGATATAACAATGTGATGCAAACTTACTTTTGTCATTTTAATATTCAATATTACATACTAAAATCAGAAGTATTACTGACTAGAATCAAATTTTATAATCTATCGGTCACAACATTATATAAAACTACTTCTGTTCTTACTATAAAGTTAATGTTAAAGTTATAGTAATTCTAATTCTAAGGTTATCGTCTTTTTATTTAAGGTTGTTTTTATCAGTTAGAATCGGCGAGCATTAAAGACCTCAGCAAATCAAAACAACACCTAGAGAAAAGCTTACAATGCTTCGAGAAATTGTTTGATGATTTAAAAGACAATGACCAATTCAAGGTTTCAATTGTTGATACATTCATCCAAGCCTACAAGATGCTCAGCCAAGTCTACATCAAAACAAGACAAAGCGAAGAAGCTCTCTTAGTATGTGAGCATGGGCGAGCACGTGCTTTGAGAGATCTCTTGTCCCTCAAATACAACACAACTGRGAAAGCAGAAACAAGAGAACTGGAACTTGCAGATGTCAAGACAATTTCCTTTCATTGTGGAAGCTACATTCTYTTTTACAATTTTCATGTTAACAAGGTTACTTATCATAGCTGGGTAATATCACCCCGAAATCCATCTACCTTCTTTTACGATGAAATGGACAACCGCGAAGCTTTGGCGACAATTTTGTCGAGCCTCTCTGATGACGAGARAGAAAAAAGTTTAGCGGGATATTTTCAATATCTCGTTGACAACTGTTTCCAGCAGCTGAATGTTAGAGAAGGAAAAGGAATGAAATGCGAAGACAGATCAATGAACTCACTAGCGGATGAAGACMTGGAGTGTGCATCCTCGGCAAACTCCTCGCCGCTTAGTGAAAACGCTCTCAAAGCTTTTCAAAAGGTTGACAGATGCATTCTCGACGAAGAAGACGATGACATGGAGCCTCTTGATATGCTTTTCTATAGACTAGTTTCCCCAGTRCTGSACCAGCTGACCCACGACGAGGTGATTATCATCCCTGACGGTTATCTTTTTATGGTGCCATTCGCTGCTCTTCAAGATCCAAAAACCGGCAAGTATTTATCGGAAACTAAACTCATTCGACTGGCTCCTTCTCTGACGACGCTGAAAATTCTACAAGAATCCTCACATGACAAGAATGTCAGRGTAAGTACAAACAAGCTATGCATCTAATTAAAAAGGTTTCTAGAGAAAATTCGTTATTCCACTTGCACAAGCACTGAACGGGGTACTTGTCATAACTGAAAAAACGGGAAAAAAATATAGCGCCAAACTTGAACAGCAAAAATGTTTTTGGAAGTTGAGTTGATTGTTTTTGAATCTCGTATTCAGTCTCGGTCCTCAAAATACCAAGTACTGTTTCTCATGAAGCCCCAGCTGGAAATCCCRCAAAGAAGAATGTTTGGACCACACGAAACTCTATTTTAATATTTTACCCTGACAAAGTTTAAAACCTTTGTTGAATCAGCAATTCAAACAAATTATCTATGTTTGCAAAAAAAATCAAATGGGGAATGWTTTTACATTCCCATACATTGAAGATCTCCAAACGTTAAAAACATCGACAAACAAAGCTGGATGATTTGTTGGGTAAKCAATTATTTTTCTTTTGACCTTGACCTTATTATTTTTAAAGTCAGGTGCTCTGATCATTGGAAACCCCACAACTGGACATGTCAGTCGTAATGGTCGTACAGTGATGTTCACCCYGTTACCCGGTGCCGAAGATGAAGCCATACAGATTAGTAATCTTCTCGGCGTGCAGCCATTGATAGGTGCTCAAGCAACAAAAGAAACAGTCTTAAGAAGACTTCAACAAGGTGTGTCAATTATCCATTTTGCTGCACATGGCAGTAAGGAAAATGGACAGATTGCTCTTGCCCCTTCAAAACTTACGACTTTCAATAGTCCAGCAGAGGAGAAGGATTGCATCTTGACCATGAAAGAAGTACAAGAGAGTGGAATTCGTGCTCAACTGGTTGTCCTCAGCTGCTGCTACAGTGGTCGAGGAGACATCAAGTCTGAAGGTGTTGTTGGGATGACTCGAGCCTTTCTTGCTGCAGGAGCTCGTGCCGTTGTAGCATCATTGTGGGCCATTGATGACACAGCAACAAATGTCTTCATGCTGAAATTCTATTCCCATCTTAAGAATGGAGAGAGTGCGAGTAAGAGTCTGCAGCAGGCAATGATGGAGATGAGAGAGATATACGAAGAACCAATGTTCTGGGCTGGATTCTTTCTGATTGGAGACGATGTCACCATYACAGTATGATCGAACATTAATTAGATAACTCAACAATTTCAGTAATTTCAAATGCACGTTCAATTAATTGATTGTTTGACAAATGTTTTCCTTTATAAATTAATGCTTATCATTCATACAGTGATATTCTATTGAATATATCACATTAGAGACAGCTTATAGAGAGCGGTTTTCATTAACCCGTGAAGCAAAGGGGGAGGGGGGGGAGGTGACTGTTGGTTGATGCACAAAGAAATCGTGCAAAGTAGAGTGCACACCACAAAAGCGTGAAACAATTTTAAATAATGAACATTTGATAAGTTTAGGTATCAACTAGCTATGAATTTACTGGGGCATGAACACAATACCAGAAATGATTATGACTCACTGAATACTTAATTAGTTGATAACTAAGTCTAATTAGGTAATAGTTAAGAATTGTTTCACACTTATGTGGCGTGCACTCTAATAAGTAATGAAGTGTTGCACGTCAGTGTTTCAAGTGTTAATGAAAAAAACTCACCTACATTTAGTAATGAAGCACAAAGTTAGACATTTTTTGTGTGAAATAGTTGTAGAAAATAGGATATTCTTTGGGGATTCTCACGACGTTTTTTGAACACAATGCTGGAGGAACTTTCACAAGGGATTTCTCATTAGTATCGTTCATTCCTCCAACATGGCCGCCGTTCTTTAATCTTCGAAATCTCATTGAAATAGTTGAAAACGTTATGATCTATCACAAATCCAGCATTCCGATTGGCTATTGAACTACGGTATATTCAYGTCCATAAATYTGGACATTTACATCATATTTATATCGAATTTACAACTTTTAAAGCACGCGACTTTTTCCAGTKGAAGCAAGAAAAAATTGGAAAAATTATTCTTATAATGTGGTCTTTATACAAGATTTGATTTAGTAATTAACAKAGGGGGGCCTTAAGTTTCATTCAAAATTTTCATAATTTTCGATGCCCGGGGGGGTACTCCCCTATATTCGCTATACGGGGACGTGCCGCCAGCTAGGGTATCGTTTTCAGCGATTTTACTCTGGAACTGGGTATCGATTTTAGCGATTTTACTCTAGAACAGGGTATCAATTGAACGAATTTTCTCTGGAACAGGGTCAGGGTTGAATTCCGGAATTATTGATGCTGGATAAAAATTCATGGGNGATGTCTCTCAAAGACAAATTTCATTCAAATTTTTAAAAAATTTCAAACTTCTGGGGGGAGGACCAGACTTCCTTATACTCCCGCCTGCCTTTGGCGTTTGTTAGACCCCCAGATCCAAAATATATGTTGCGGTCCCTGACATGTGCATAAAAAGTCAAGAACAATTTCTTAGTTGACGTCACTTCATTTGCAATTTCAATAGTATTAAATGCCTATAACTCAGATGATAAAATTGAAAATCTATTTCTTTCTTCTCAGAAGTTCTTGAGGGTGTCAATGGGGTTAGTAGTTAACTGACTTTTGGCTCAAAAATTAATAGTTAACTGACTTTTTGGCCAAAAAATAGTAGTTAACTGACTAATGAAAATCGTATATTTAACTGACTTTCTTAGAAACATTTAATTCTGGCGCGTAGAGTCCATTACCCATATACGCACGTGCGCACTAGTGGCAAGGAAATATTAAGATTTTCGGGATTTGATCACTTTTTATATGCTCTCGATGCCATTTAAAACGCTGAAAATCGCATTTTCAAGAATTTTATTATTTCAAAATTTCCTGTGGGAGGACCCCCCGACCTTCGTTAAAACTCCCGCCTTCGGAGGTCGCTAGCTCCCCAATCCAAGATATGTGTCACAGTTCCTGCCATGTGCGTACGTGCGTATATCTATATACTGTCCAACATTTTTTGGGGTCTTTTAACTTGTCACAGTTTAGTCAAGCTGCGATTCACATGTCACTTTTCACGAGTACTCAGGCTATCCTCACCGCTTTGAACTTGTTGACCAGACATAGTTGGCTTTGTCAAGGTCATCGTTGGTTTCTATAGAATGAATGATTGGACAACCTTTGAACGCCACAAAGTTCGAAATGCAATTTATAAAGCAATGGCATTCGATACAAGAGACCAAAAGTTAATGCCAATTTAACATTAGTAGTTAACTGGCTTTTGGCCAAAATAGTAGTTAATTGACTTTTGACCCAAAAATTAGTAGTTGACTGACTTGACACCCTCGTTCTTGGCAGCGTGTTACCTTTCGGATGAAAGTGTCACTGAATTTCAAAAAGGTGTCATGTGCAATTTAAAATAGCCTGAGAAGAAAACTTCGAGGCTTTATCATTCCAAACAAGAAAAATTAGGAGATAATTTTTCAACTATTGCCGCGTTGTTTGTGAACAAAAAAATCGTATTTAAACCGAATCCAGTGTTCTCCCTGCATTAATCGAGTTCCAACACTACTCCCCTGGAGTACACATTGTCGTAACCAAACCTGAGAAAATAAATTCCTTCAGTTGACTGCATTCAATCTTAATATAAATATTAGTTTTCACTAGTAAAAATTCAAAAGCCGGAAAATGCACTAGTGAAAATAACATTGAAAATGACACGTTCGTTTGTTTTTCCGCTTTATATTAGAAGAATATAAAAGTTATTTTAGGTAATAATTTTCTTTCATAAATGTTTATATGATAAACAAAATATTACATAGATCAAATAAATGGTTGTAGGTTGGTCTATTCATTATGATGTAAGCGCTACTTCAACCTAAAAGTTATTTATTTTTGTTTTGTAAAATGTAACGTTTTTCATTCCGTCTTGATAATGGCTCGGTGAGCCGAAAGCTCGACAAAAGTAAATAACTTTTAGGTTGAAGTAGCGCTTACATCATAATAAAATATTACATGTTCGCTTGCAGATACGAATTTGATCTTCTTTTGCGAAAATCCCTTCTCTCGCGCTCATTTAATATCCTCTCTCTMTATATTTTGTGTTAGTAGTGCTATTATGACGTTATGCTACAATGAGTAAGCAACAAAACATCATCAAAGCTTTCTATTCAGAAGAATGAAGAATGAATATTTATTGTTGTTAAATGGTATTTTTAGCATTTAATGGACGTAAACAACAGGAAGTTCCCGTTTGTGGCTCAATGAATAAAAAGAAAAAGAAGGAAATTGAAATTGACCCACCCATCAAGCTAAATAAACTAAAAAGACTACATACCGGGATTACATCTAAATATTGCCAATTTTGAGAGCCTATTGACGGTTTGTGCTGATTTTGTAGTCATTTCTGTGTAAGTTTACAGTTGTCAAGCATCGCTTGTTTGCGGATTTGCAAGCAGTTCACGGTTTCAGTGCACTATTTGTGCGGCCTTACAACCCCATTATAGTGACCCTCTACTCCAGCAACTAATCAATAAACTAATAAAGACAGGTCCGTGTCTCTTGACACTGCAAGCACTATACTGATATCAATATTACCATCCACCGTTAAACTAAGGTACAATGGACATCAGCAGTTGATATATACTGCTTGGTCTCACTTGTTTTTAAAACTGCTCTAACATGGCGGATCCACGAGGTGATTTGGTTGCGGACGCACCCCCCTTTTCGAACGACATAATATTTTGTATATATCAGTGTGTATTGTGCTGTTTATACTCGTATTGTACTTTTATCAAGAAAACTATTTGAGTAGTATGGTCAAAGATACGTTGCAATAAAAGTCAATTTCCTCTCGGTCAAATTGTGCATATTTTTCTTGCTCTATACAATACCAAGATAACAAAAATGACCAGTTCCATCTTCTATACTTAGTTTTTAGATATATATCATTACTGACAAAAGCACCTCCCCTTATAAAATGATGAATTCACCCCTGCTTTTTATAGGCAAATAACACTTGCTCATGAATGCAGTTCTATTTAAACCCTACGGTAACCTACACTGCTAATGATGAATTCATCTATGATGTAATGATGAATTGAATCGATATCCGTGTTTGCTGAACCGTTTGCCTTGAAGTGTGCGCCCGAAGGCAACAGGAAATGGCATGATGGTCTATGATGAATCAACAATGATCTTAAATTGTGAATATGCTTAAAACTCTTGTGCAAACATAGTAGAAAATATGATTTGTTACGTTATTTTGAATAAAGCTTAATTCTTGATCAACTGGTATATTATTTAGAACTGAAAACATTTTTTTGTCGTGGTATTGTGGCTTCTTGGTACGTTCGGAATTTCTCAACGTGATAAATATAGCTGACTATTGATACTATAGTGTCAGTTGCGTCTTCTAGCTGAGTAATTAACAAGGTTAGTATGACATCCAGTAAGGGACGGTGATTTCTATTTTCATTTCTATTTTATTTCCATTTTTAACTGTTCTACTTGTTTGATTTGTTAATCATTATTGAGTCATCTCAGTTGACGGGAGCTTTACTATTTGTAACATCCACTTTCCGCAACATTGCTTTTTGTTTTGATTTCAAAATTGCACGACACGAAGCTCAATTACCACTTAATTATATCCATTATGAAATCTAACACATTGTACAGCATATATTCATAAAAATACAATATTTGCTTCTCAAAGGAGTGTGATTTAGTGCTCAAAATGGTGCGATTTAGGCTGAAATCAACCTGCTAAGAACCAATCAGATTGCAGGATTCGCTTGTGATTTCAAAATGAATATAATTAACAGTTAAACTAGTCTGTAATATATTGCGGTTTTATTGATCGTTTTCTTTTATATAATTATCTATGAAATACCTATGTTTCTGTGTGTAAAAGTTATTCGAGTTGTGATGTTTAAAGTGAATATGAACCCTTTAAAAAATCATTTTTAACAAAAGGCAAATATGGTACTAATAATTGTTTTGAAGAAAACAAAATTGTTTGAATTTTATTTAGATATACGATCTTTGAAACAGTCGCTCAAAAATGTTTTCATGAAGTTGCCTTTTGTTAAAAATGATTTTCTAAAAGGCTTCAGATGCACTTTGAAATTCAATATCTTATGTTATTTATCAATGTTGCATATGCGTGTGCTGAGATTTTATTCAGACGTAAGCGACGTAATCATAAGGAGGGTTTGAATGCTATGCCCTCTCGCCACAATTGAAAAATTACCCCCCCCCCCTTCAAAGAGAGAGAGAGAAAAAGGGCAAAGTCTATAATGGAATACTTATCAGAGGAGTTAGAACTAGAATAGTTCTCTTCATTTACAGCCTGCGCAATTATTGCAGAGGGTTCAGACAGGAAGCCAAAAGCAGGGATGTGAACAGGTTTACATTCCTCTCCTTCCACCCCCTATTACCATACCCCCTACCAACCTTAGCAAACGAAGTTGTTTTTTTTACAAATCCGTCAATAGTGGGCACAGATTTTCGGTTATTCCAACAGCTATTCCACCTTTAAATCATTAGCCGCCTCCTGATAATTACTGCGCAGTCCCTTGTAGTGGGAAAAGAGACGTGGACAATGTCTGAGTCAAACCGGCAAGACGAGAGTCAACAATCGACTAAAGAAGAAGACAGCAAAAAGAAAACAAAAAAAGATAATATTGAAGACCTGATTGAGCTCATTATAAAAGACGAAAAGACAGCCGAGGATAACGAGAAGATCAAACAAGATGTCAAAGAACTACTAAAAGAATCAGAGCAGCTAACAGCTACAGCAGCTAACAACGGTCAAAAGTGGGCATTCTTTTTAATGGTAAGATGTATACATAATTTTCTGTGATAAAAGTTGTTGCGCAATCTTACTATAGCCTCCCTATGCAATCAGCTCTGTGAAAAAAGTCTATGCAATAGAATAGAAACAGAATTGTAAACGCGCTTCATCGCAATACAATTTTTAAATGTTAAAACATGACTTATTCATCCGATAGTCTTCGTCACGTCATAGAAACGTAAATAAGGCATGCAGAAGAAGGCTTATTACAATTTCAATTGTAATTGAATTTCAATACAATATTGCAATGTATTGGTAAAGCTGTACGTAATAAACATGAAATTGCATATTTCTCTATTTTCGTCTTGTGACGTCATCGTTTCGGACCGGACTGATACTGAAGTTTACGTACTGTCGCCTACACAATTCGTAACAATGTTTGATGTGTCATACGTTCTTCTACAGACCTAATCGACCTGTTTTTAAAAGATATATTTATATGACTAATATGATAAAGAAAATGAGGTATCTCTAGCTTTAATGCAAACGTTTTGACCACAATTGCGATCTTCTTTAGTGCAATGGCAAAAATGCAAAGCGTGCACGCGCGACTAACGGTTTTCACACAAAAACTACAATGATTAGCGGCCGCGCTGTTTACAAGAATCTAATAAAGTTTTATATAGCCCGGGGATGAGTTCTAAAGTTGCCCGAATGTTCGTGTCAAGCTCACAAAAGGAAAAGTCTTTGGTGGTAGTTATGTTCGGTAACGACTGTCTTTGAACTGTTGAAATCCATTTCATGGCCTGTGTCATTGACATGATCAGCAATTTTTGATGATATGTTGTTCTGGCATACCGCTCGCTTGTGTTCGCTGATTTTGTTTTATAACAATCTATCGGTCTGTCCACAATACGCAAAACTACAATCTTTGCAATTGATGTTGTAAACTAAACCCGTCGAAAGGACTGCATTTTTTCTTCCTTTGGGTCTGTGGAAAAAAATTGTTAATGTTGCTTGCGGTTTCATGGGCTACTGTGATGTTATGTTGTTTAGCACTCTGCCAATCTTCTCAGAAGGTCCAGCTATGTAAGACAAAACAGCAACTTTAGTTTGAGTATCTTGCTCGTTAACAGCAACAGAATCACAAACAAGACAGCTCTCACAACGTCGTATAAAAGACTCCGGGTAGATCGTAGTTGCGATCGAAACTTTTGCATTAAATTTGTTTCTTTCAAGCTAGAGATACCTCATTTTCTTTTATCAAGCAAGATTCTAGCTGCAACTTTAAAGTTTTATATGACTTATATGCATATTTTCAATGTGTAGGTGAGCTACCAATTAAAGCGATCAGATCGCAAAGAGCTGATAGAACTTGGGATCAGTTTAGTAGAAGATGCAAGAAATATTGAAAATGAAGGAAATTCTTTCAAGGAAATCAAGCAAATTGTCACACCATCAGGATTAGAGAATCTATCTAAAACCTGGCAAATGAATCTTTTGGAATTGTCCTTAATGGTATGACGCAGCNTTGCATATTTCTCTATTTTCGTCTTGTGACGTCATCGTTTCGGACCGGACTGATACTGAAGTTTACGTACTGTCGCCTACACAATTCGTAACAATGTTTGATGTGTATACGTTCTCTACAGATCTAAACGACCTGTTTTTGAAAGAAATATGTTCATATGACTAATATGATAAAGAAAATGAGGTGTCTCTAGCTTTAAAAAAAAAATTAATGCAAACGTTATTGATCGCAACTGCGCTCTTCTTCAGTGCAGTGGCAAAATGCAAAGCGTGCACGCGCGACTAATTACAATGATTAGCGCGCGCGCTGTTTACAAGAATCTATTATTTAAGAAATATAAAACGGCGCGCGTGTCTCTGTCCTCTAATATAAACACGGTGGGAGTTCGAAAAACACGAGAGAAGCAAGCTTAGGAACACGAGCGTAGCGAGTGTTTCTCTTGCTTCTCGAGTGTTTTTCAACTTTTTCTGCTTTAGAGCATTAAAATGACAAAAAAGAAGAAGGTTTAGCACACAACTTAGTGTAGGGACGGTATTTACACCTTTTTAAAAACACAAATGTGTGAAAACAGGCATTTTTGATATTTTTGATTATTATATAGATGATTTCTAACTAATCAGGCGAGCGCGCGCTGGCGACTTGAAAAACCGTCTTGAAAACAATGCGCGCTCTCATCATTTTCAACCAATCACGAATCAAGAAATAACGCATTCCCCCAGAGTCTCTCACGCATTGACATCCGCTGGATGGCAAAAGTGCGGACTCTGGGTTCGAGATTGGCATAACGCTCGTTTATGTTCGCTGATTCTGTTTTTTTAACGATCTGTCCATAATACGCAACACTACAATCTTTACAATTGATCTTTTCTTCACTTGACAATTTTAAAACTGCTCTCAAAACCTTCCTTTTTAAACAAACTTATGATCTGTAACTCTATTTTAACATTCTTAATATCTTAATTTTTACCTTTTTATTTGCGCTTAGAAAAAGTTTTATAAGCGCTTTATAAGCTTAGATTATTATTATTATTATCTTGTAAACCAAACCCGTAGAAAGGACTGCATTTTTTCTTCCTTTGGGTCTGGGGAAAAATTGTTGATGTTGCTTACGGTTTTATGGGATACTGTGATGTCATATTGTTTGGGTACTCTGCCAATCTTCTCAGAAAGTCCTGCTACGTAAGAAAAAAACAGCAACTTTAGTTTGAGTGTCTTGCTCGTTAACAGCAACAGAATCACCCTCAAGAAAGCTCTTACAACGTCGTATAAAAGACTCCTGGTAGATTGTAGTTGCGACCGGGAGTTGCGATCGAAACTTTTGCATTATATTTGTTTTTTTCAAGCTAGAGATACCTCAATTTCTTTATTGAGCAGCATCCTAGCTGCAACTTTAAAATGTTATATGACTTATATGCATATTTACAATGTGTAGGTGAGCTACCAATTAAAGMRATCAGATCGCAAAGAGCTGATAGAACTTGGGATCAGTTTAGTAGAAGATGCAAGAAATATTGAAAATGAAGGAAATTCTTTCAAGGAAATCAAGCAAATTGTCACACCATCAGGATTAGAGAATCTATCTAAAACCTGGCAAATGAATCTTTTGGAATTGTCCTTAATGGTATGACGCAGCRTACATCTAGAGGATTTGTTTGTGCAAAGACACACTAACATGACGATACGGTAGCAGCCTGGTACTAATGCCATTCAAGAACACATCGCTGTCACGACACAGCGAACGTGCCGTGTCTTTTGCACAGTCATACTCTAAATTCTTTGGTGGTAAAGCTTCCTTTGCAATGATTTCAATTATGCCCGAAGGAAGCCTTACCATAGTAATAGCTTACTCGTAATGTATCGCAATGGTTGATGTGTGTGTATGTATTTTAATTTTTACGTTAATTGAGAAATATCGTGTATGTATTTGAAACATGTAGGTGAGGTATTGGCTGAAGAAATCATCAGAAGAAAGTCCTGATGGCAAAGAGTTAGAAATTCTTGGGAACGGAGTTGAAGAGTACGCCAAAGAACTTCTAACCTATTTACCGAGGATCAAGAATGAAAGCGGATTCATTTTTGCTTGTACTGATCGAATCACATATGCTGCAATACGTTATCAATGCAAAAAGGTACGAAATTTGGGCAATAGTGAAGATTTTATTGAGCAAATATATGGCCGTTTCGAAATGTAGCAGAGCAAAAATTGTYAGGAGGAGCCAACGGAGTCTGTTCTTCAAAATAACTGTTCTTGTTCCTGTYMTTTTTCCTGGGAAACTGAGCAAATATGTCGACCTTTCTTCTTTAGAATATTTTGTTCCTTTCACTAAACGTTTTTATGGTCAAAAAAGTCTTATATCTTTTTTAATTTGGAAACTTTTATTTCAGTCCTGGCAAAAATTCTTAGAAAGTAATCATTGTAGCAGAATTCTTTTTTCCTGGCTGGGACATTATAACAGATATATTTCACCTAGGAACCCATCGACTCCTCCTACATCGGATTCATGTCCAGAAAATCCGGACATATGAGCCCGCAATCGCAGCGGTACTTCGCATAAAGCACAAAAACATGTTTGTAAATTTTACAAAGAMATGTACCGATCAAAAAAACTATTTGAGAATAACTTTTGGTCTGTTTTACCTGGAACGTTTTCCAAGATGAATTCCTATAGGGAAACTATTCTTGATTCCACTGTAGGAAAGCCAAATAAATACGAAATTGTTAAGAGCGTCCTTTTTGACAATTTTTTTTCCTTTCGTCGTCTCGTTGTATTTTATGGTGCAAAATCCGCGAAGAAGCGAACCGTAGCTGATCGTGTTTTCTTACATGTCACTGATTTTTCAATGATCAATTCTCCAAGTCCACACATTGAGCTAGAAACACAGCGATTTTCAGCTATTTTGAGGACGATAAACAGCGTCCTTTTTGGTACTAGAAATCTTACATGCAATTTGAAAACATTAGCTTGACGGTGAAATGGCTTGCGACGAATCGTATTTCACGAGAATAATTGGCCGCGATCTTCCATTTTCTTACCATTTTATTCGCCATGTTTGTTACCAAAGTGAACCTTAGAAAYGTGGCTTTCAGACTGGGACTGCTTTAATTTTGGCGGTTTTTACAGGCGACTCGCGCGCTCTGGTAAATAGCGGGAATACGAACGAAAGATAGACCAAATTAGCCTCCGCTATTTAGTGTAAACAATGTCAGAACTTYTAAATTCCTTAGAAATGTACAAKTATAAACAAAAGATCACAATATCAACTGATGATCATTGTYAAAAATACCTGAGGCAAACGTGTGTTCCATCAAATAATATTATTTATACTATGAATACTAGTTCCAAACGAGCACMTYACAAGCCACTAATGAACTCAAGGATCAGGGCGTGCTATCCCAATACTCGTTTTTCRATGTTTTGAATCGAACGCTTCGATTTTMASCCAGTATTGTATTAAGATATAGGATCGTTSCACAATTGAGTAGAAAATTTGATTTTCAAAAGTTCAAAACTTGTCAAGGGAACTTTTAGAAAGCTGTATTTTGGTGGGAAAACCCGCTGACTCGTCCCGGGCTCAAATGTCCGTAATTTCTGGCCATGAAGGAGAATCCCAAGTCACGAATCCCAAATCACAGTATATACATCATGAAAATTAGTTTTCAAATTGACCTCGATAATTATTGTTGAGGGAAATTTAGTTKTTAAATTTACAAACCAAACTGACCTCTCATGTTATTTATGAGGGAGGGATGTTATAATCGACGCCCATCCAAATACAAGGAATACCGATTTGATCATCGATCATCGATTTGATTTGACAGATCTTTTCTCGTGTTCTCCCAACCATCCCGCGCGGTTGTTTCGCCTGCAGTAAACCGCTTCTTCGTTTATTGTTTTAGTATAATATATAATAAATACGTTCTGGCGTGGACACGCTTTAGCAAGTTGGTGATCTATTTTGCTTTATTGGAASTTGGCACACAAATCAGGAATATACTCTCTTATAATGCGATATCAAATTCCGTTTTTTCCTTCAGTTTCTTTCAGGCCCGACAACGCAGAATTATTTGAAGAAGTTATGGACAAACGATTACAAAAATGAGAGTGATACATCAGCGAAATGGATCCTTGCTAATCTGTTTGTTTTATTTGAAGTTATCTTTTTTCCATTGATATTCGTGGTTTACGTATATGGCATCATTAAAGATCTCACTGAAAATCGTAGGAAAGAAGATGGCAGTGAAGATGCCAGTAAACAAGATGAGAATAAAGATGCCAGTAAACAAGATGAGAATAAAGATGCCAGTAAACAAGATGAGAATAAAGATGCCAGTAAACAAGATGAGAATAAAGATGCCAGTAAACAAGATGAGAATAAAGATGCCAGTAAACAAGATGAGAATAAAGATGCCAGTAAACAAGATGAGAATAAAGATGCCAGTAAACAAGATGAGAATAAAGATGCCAGTAAACAAGATGAGAATAAAGATGCCAGTAAACAAGATGAGAATAAAGATGCCAGTAAACAAGATGAGAATAAAGATGCCAGTAAACAAGATGAGAATAAAGATGCCAGTAAACAAGATGAGAATAAAGATGCCAGTAAACAAGATGAGAATAAAGATGCCAGTAAACAAGATGAGAATAAAGATGCCAGTAAACAAGATGAGAATAAAGATGCCAGTAAACAAGATGAGAATAAAGATGCCAGTAAACAAGATGAGAATAAAGATGCCAGTAAACAAGATGAGAATAAAGATGCCAGTAAACAAGATGAGAATAAAGATGCCAGTAA